AAACTATTCAACTATTTAATTCAGTTATGCATGATATTTACTGACTAGAAAAAACTCTTTATTTGCTATATAACCTTTTGACCTGATCACAGTGAACCATATCGGGATCTTTTGATTGAAGATTTGTTGTGCTCTGTGATGTGATGATTACATTCATAGTAAACATAATGGCCATATACAGTTCTTTTAAAAATTGTTCACCTCTGTGGAAGTTTTCATGTGTTTTTGTTGCACATTATTGAATTGCAGATGATTAAACAAGACTTTATTTTTCAGATCAACAAAGAAATAAAATTAGTGAAATATTAAATATTTGAATTAAAAAATGGTCAGTTATAATTATTAAACACAAAATATTGTTTTGCATGATTATCCACCTCCTTATGGTATTAGTCGATGCACATTTGGCAGTCACTATCTTGGTTTCTATCAGCGTTGCAGATCCGGCCACTGCACTTTTAACTAGAAAACTTAATCAGGACTGTCTATTTCTAAACCGGCCATACATTTGACTCAGATCTGGATTTTGACATTCACAACATTGTGTTTTGAAGCCATTCTGCTCAGTGTCATCTGGGATTTGGGTACATTTTAAAAAGTTAATCATTTAGATTCATCAACTGAATAAGACTCTTACAAGTTCATATGTAAATCTAACAAAAAGTGTCTTTACACTGATGCAACCTGGAGTAATTTGGTGATTTCAATATGAAAAAGGTTGACTGTGGGAGGATGGATAGTTCATAGAATATTTGTAATAATTTACTCACCCTTAGGTTGCTCCATGGCTCTGAGAAACACAAATAGGGATGTGTAGCAGTTTAGCAGAATGTTCAAGCTTCTCCTATTTTCCACACAATGGCAGCTGATGACTCAAACTCTAAATGTGAAAAAAGGCGTCATAAAAGTAGTTCACATGACTTGTGCGCTACATTCTGAATCCATGTGTGAGGAATAGTCTATACAGAATTTAATTAGAGAAATCATGACTTCCACTCTACATCTCGTACAGTCGCTCCATTTGTCCATTTGTTGTAGTAAACAGAAATCGGATGAATCACCTGTGAGTTCTGATGCTATAAACTCAACTCTCTGCTGGGGATTTTGATTCATCTCAGTGACTTGAATATTTATCAGATCCTTTTACCAAAAAATTTGTTCTGATTGGTTCAGTGACCAATTCATTGATGGTCATGAGATATTCCAGTTCATTCAGTTCATTCACGAGATGATTCGTTCAGTGCTGCTCCGAGTCTCGTTCAGACTCAAAGTTGTCTTTCTGGTTCATTTTGAACTATGTCAGCTGGCTGAGCAAAAACAAAGTAAATACTGTCAATATTGAGTCTAAACAGTAAATTAATCAGTACAGTAGTTAATTTTTTGTTTACTAAACTATTGTATAAAAGCAATATCACATTTGCAATCATGATATTAAGAAGAAACAACAGTCTTGTGTGATGTTGCTTTATATCAACAAAGGATTATATTAAAATGTTTCTGCTGTCTTGAGGTAAATGATGTGGAGTGTGTTTGCATATTGATCAGATGCTTCAGTGCTCTGAGAGTGTTTATAGCGCTGTAAGTTTAACACTTCATCACTGAGAGCTTTTCTCTATTTTAACTGAAAGAGCAACCAGCAAGAAGATGATGATCATCAGCGTCTGTATCTGGACACTCATTCTTTGTGTTCAAGGTTTATTTATAACTCAAAATGTGATTTATATGCATGATTTAATGGTAAACTTGCTTTTTTTTTTACTGGATACTCTAATAACTGAAATGTCATTCACAGAAACTGCATGACAAATTTCTGTGACTCAGACTCCTTCAGTAGCAGCTGTTCAGCCAGGAGAAACAGTTACTTTAAACTGTCGAACTAGCAGAGGAATCGGAGATCGTTCAGCGGGTTGTGGCTCCTGTCTCGCCTGGTATCTGCAGAAACCTGGAGAAGCTCCTAAACTCCTCATTTATTACATTAGCTCACGACAGTCAGGAACTCCATCTAGGTTCAGCGGCAATGGAGCAAATTATGGAACAGATTTCACTCTGACCATCAGTGGAGTCCAGACTGAAGATGCTGGACATTATTACTGTCAGAGTGCACACTATATCAGTAGTAACTGGGTGTTCACACAGTGATAAAGAGAGGTACAAAAACCTCCGTCAGTCAGAGTCACAGTGACTGAACTGATGCTGCAGCTGCTCAAACACTATCACACACTCACTCACACACACACACACACACACACACACACAGAGAGAGAGACAGGAAGACAGAGGATTTCAAAAGTTTTCTCTTCTACACTCTTAAAAATAAAGGTGCTTCAAAAGGTTCTTCACAGCGATGCCATAGAAGAACCATTTTTGGTTCCACAAAGAAGCATTCAGTCAAAGGTTCTTTAAAGAACCATCTCTTTCTTACCTTTTTGTAATCTGAAGAACCTTATTTCGCCACAAAGAACCTTTTGTGAAACAGAAAGGTTCTTCAGATGTTAAAGGTTCTTTATGGAACCATTTAGACAAAAAGGTTCTTCTATGGCATCGTGAAGCACCTTTATTTTTAAGAGTGTATCACAGTCCACCAGAGCAAACACATCTGTAAACACACAAAACACACCTACTTTTTGTCTTATGGCACGGGCTATTTCAGTGACTTCTGGTGATCAGCAAACTATTCAACTATTTAATTCAGTTATGCATGATATTTACTGACTAGAAAAAACTCTTTATTTGCTATATAACCTTTTGACCTGATCACAGTGAACCATATCGGGATCTTTTGATTGAAGTGTTGTTGTGCTCTGTGATGTGATGATTACATTCATAGTAAACATAATGGCCATATACAGTTCTTTTAAAAATTGTTCACCTCTGTGGAAGTTTTCATGTGTTTTTGTTGCACATTATTGAATTGCAGATGATTAAACAAGGCTTTATTTTTCAGATCAACAAAGAAATAAAATTAGTGAAATATTAAATATTTGAATTAAAAAATGGTCAGTTATAATTATTAAACACAAAATATTGTTTTGCATGATTATCCACCTCCTTATGGTATTAGTCGATGCACATTTGGCAGTCACTATCTTGGTTTCTATCAGCGTTGCAGATCCGGCCACTGCACTTTTAACTAGAAAACTCAATCAGGACTGTCTATTTCTAAACCGGCCATACATTTGACTCAGATCTGGATTTTGACATTCACAACATTGTGTTTTGAAGCCATTCTGCTCAGTGTCATCTGGGATTTGGGTACATTTTAAAAAGTTAATCATTTAGATTCATCAACTGAATAAGACTCTTACAAGTTCATATGTAAATCTAACAAAAAGTGTCTTTACACTGATGCAACCTGGAGTAATTTGGTGATTTCAATATGAAAAAGGTTGACTGTGGGAGGATGGATAGTTCATAGAATATTTGTAATAATTTACTCACCCTTAGGTTGCTCCATGGCTCTGAGAAACACAAATAGGGATGTGTAGCAGTTTAGCAGAATGTTCAAGCTTCTCCTATTTTCCACACAATGGCAGCTGATGACTCAAACTCTAAATGTGAAAAAAGGCGTCATAAAAGTAGTTCACATGACTTGTGCGCTACATTCTGAATCCATGTGTGAGGAATAGTCTATACAGAATTTAATTAGAGAAATCATGACTTCCACTCTACATCTCGTACAGTCGCTCCATTTGTCCATTTGTTGTAGTAAACAGAAATCGGATGAATCACCTGTGAGTTCTGATGCTATAAACTCAACTCTCTGCTGGGGATTTTGATTCATCTCAGTGACTTGAATATTTATCAGATCCTTTTACCAAAAAATTTGTTCTGATTGGTTCAGTGACCAATTCATTGATGGTCATGAGATATTCCAGTTCATTCAGTTCATTCACGAGAAGCAATTTCCAGTTTGAAAATATCTGCAGGCTACTTAAAAATCAACACACTAATCAGAAAATGTAAGTTTAATTACTTTTTTAATTATCTTATTTTATTATCTTTTTTTATCAAAGTGGTGCCAAAATGACAACCTGATGTAAATTTTATTTCAGTGCATTTAGAATTTAATTATCAATAAATATCAAGTTAACAGAAATGATTATAGTTCACTGGATGAAATAAAAAATGCCATGACAATCAAAACCATCTTTACAATGTTGACTGCCAAACATTCAATGTGAACTAAAAATAAAAAATAGATATATAAATATAAAAATAGATAAACAAGCATGCATCATTTCTATAGAGCAACAATGCATTTAACAGTCAGCGGTTGTATTAATAATATTAAATGATGATTTACTTACTGCCAACATCCAGTTTGGTGCCGCTGCCGAAAGTCCACCACAGTGATAGAAACTAATAGAACAGCTGAACAAAAACCTCCTGAACGCTTCACTAACTGCACAAACACACATCAACTGAGTCTCCAACAAACACATTCACTCACAGTACAAGTTACCTTACTTTACGTGATTTATGCAGTCTGTATCATTAATAAAGAATGAAACTGAATTTATAGTGTTAACATGCATATATCATTCATGACACAACTCACAATCAAACTCAGTTGATTCAGTGATTGACAGAGACACGTGTGTGTGATGATCCTTGTGTCTGTTAAAAACCTGCAGGAACATCTATGGATTTGACATAAAATTTATGAATTAACAGTAATGTTTCTATCCAACTACAGTCAAAAATATTCTCAAAGTCTCTCAGGAGAGAGTCAGGATAATACACTTAAGTTGGTATTGGCAGATTTATTCAAAAGTGAATGATCTGATTCAATTTATAAAAACCTTGCTATTAGAAAATATAAAATTATGAAAAAGATTCATTTTTTCTCATTTCAGTAGCTGTATTTTGTGTCTGTTATTGAGCGACTGTCTTCAGGTAAATGATGTGGAGAGTGTTTGCATATTGATCAGATGCTTCAGTGCTCTGAGAGTGTTTATAGTGCTGTGAGTTTAACACTTCATCACTGACACACACAACAATCTTCATCAACATGACCTTCATCATCATCTTCATCTGGACACTTTCATATTGCTTTATACTACAAGGTGAATAGTGTATATTTGAAATAATATTAATTAAATTATTTTATTACATGTCAAATCATATATTTTTATGGACTAATAAATAGTTTGTTTTTCAGGGTGTAAAGCTCAGATCACAGTCACTCAGACTCCTTCAGTGAAAACTGTCACACCACGAGAAAATGTAGAGATGAGCTGTAAACTCAGTACTGCTACACCCTGCAGCCCAAACCCCTGTGTGTTCTGGTACTTACAGAAACCTGGAGAAGCTCCTAAACTCCTGATTTATTGGACAAACACCCTCCAGTCAGGAACTCCATCTAGATTCAGTGGCAGTGGATCTGGGACTGATTTCTCTCTGACCATCAGTGGAGTCCAGACTGAAGATGCTGGACATTATTACTGTCAGAGTTTTCACTGCAGAACAGATTCTGATGGTGATTGTGTGGGTGATGAGGTGTTCACACAGTGATAAAGAGTGGTACAAAAACCTCCGTCAGTCAGAGTCACAGTGATGAACTGACGCTGCAGCTGCTCAAACATTGTCACTCACTCAACAGTGAAGAAACAAATACGATCTTGATATTAATTTTTTTGAGGTCCATCATTATTTTTTGAAGATTATTAAAATTATTTTGATCATTTTTTTTAGATCTTTTATGGTTTATCTCTTCTACTTTCCACTCACTCATTTTTCAATCCATTATGTATTTTTATAATGCATAATTTCTTTCTTTTTTCTGATTATATATTCATATTCCAAAAAGAACCAGCAGGACATAAAGGTGTTGCTGCTGAATAGTTTATTCATCATCTTCCAGTCAAAAGTCTCCATCCCTAAACAGTTAATTCATAAGTTGTGTAAGTCTTATAAAACTACCTCTCAAACTCTATAACTGTCTCAGAACTGCATGAGCAGAAGTGAAACTGATCCAGTTCAGAGCGTTTAACCGATCAAACAGTGAAACTGTGAGTTTGAATTTTCATGGATATTAAAAATAAAATATAAAGCATTTATTCAGTTTTACACTTGCTGAATGTTAATCTAACCCACTTAATCTTATTCAGTTTGTCTAATATTTTTGAGGTTCATAATGTTTCATCGTGTATCTGCAGGTGTTTTCATGGTCCATTGAGTTAAGTTTCCAAATGTTTTGTTTTAAATGTGAGTTAAAGCCCTGATCCAAAGAAAGACCCAAATCACAAAAAAGAACACAAAGACTTAAAGTTATACAACTGTATTTTATTTATTGAGCAAATTTGAATAGAATCACACCTGAATGATAAAGCACACATATAGTCTTGTATGAAGCACACAAAGCAGAGCAGATGCAGATGCGAGCGACTGAAGCTGGATGTGGAGAATGAAGGAGTCGCTCATGTGCTGTTAGTCTCCATGTGAGACATGAGTGAGAAGAGCAGCAGATCTACTCTGAACACTGCTGTCTCGTCACGTGTCCAGTGAGCGCAGGCTGGCCGCTCCGTGTGGCCTCACAGCTCACTGAGACGCTCTCCATCCACTCCTGCTCAGAGAGAGTCAGGCTGCTGCTCCAGCTGTACAGACCGTCCTTCTCCAGGAGCCCAGCGCTGCTCTCCTGAGACCTGCTGCTCCCGTCCACCTTCCAGCTCAGGCTCCAGTCTGACGGGAAGCCCTTGCTGGCCACACACACCAGTGTCGCTGTCTTCTTTGAGGAGATCTCTGCACTGGAGGGCGGCAGGACGCTCACTTTAGGACGAGTGGCGCCTGACAAACACACAACAGTCAACTCAGTGAAGAAGAAAGCATTTCTCTCCTTTCAGCTTCAGAACAAATATATGAACAATTAATACAGTGATAGTCATTTTAGCAACATTAAACTTCAAGTCACCTGAATTAACTTTTACAAAGCCTGTGATCAGCAAAGCAACGAATATTTGGTGAAATATATTGATATATTGAAGAGTAATTTTCATTATCAAATTTAATGTTACTTTGATTAAAAGCATGAAAGATCAGATGTAAATAAATAGACCTGCAGGAATTCATTACAATTTTTGATGACAGCATGAGAAAATCGGGTACAAAACTTTGCTTTAAAAATAGAAAATAAAACAAAATGTCTGGCATGTGTACTATAACTTTAAAAATAACTTATTCAAATATTATCGTTAACAAAAAATACAATTAAGCAACTTGCAGTTTGAAAATATCTGCAGGCTAATTAAAAATCAACACACTAATCAGAAAATGTAAGTTTAATTACTTTTTTAATTATCTTATTTTATTATCTTTTTTAATCATCACTTAGTAAAATCAAAGTGGTGCCAAAATGACAACCTAATGTAAATTTTATTTCAGTGCATTTAGAATTTAATTATCAATAAATATCAAGTTAACAGAAATGATTATAGTTCACTGGATGAAATAAAAAATGCCATGACAATCAAAACCATCTTTACAATGTTGACTGCCAAACATTCAATGTGAACTAAAAATAAAAAATAGATATATATATGTAAATATAAAAATAGATAAACAAGCATGCATCATTTCTATAGACCAACAAAGTGTTTAACAGTCAGTTGTTGTATTAATAATATTAAATGATTTACTTACTGCCAACATCCAGTTTGGTGCCGCTGCCGAAAGTGACCCACAGTGATAGAAACTAATAGAGCAGCTGAACAAAAACCTCCTGAACGCTTCACTAACTGCACAAACACACATCAACTGAGTCTCCAACAAACACATCCACTCACAGCAGACATTACTTTACTTTTACTTTATATGCTTAGATTACTAAAGCATGAAACTGAATTTATAAAGAGTTAACTTGTATATATATAGTGTGACGCGACTCACAATCAAACAGAGACACGTGTGTGTGATGATCCTCGTGTCTGTTAAAAACCTGCAGGAAAATCCATGGATTTGGCATAAAATTTGGGATTAATGGTGACGTGTCAATCCAACTAGAGTAAAACAATATTCTCAAAGTCTCACGGGAAAGAGTCAGGTTAATATACTAAAGTTGGTCTTGAAGATGTATTGAGAATTAAATTGAATGATACAGTTTTTAATAGTTTGGCTAAACAGAAGATTGACAGATTTTTTACTAGATGTTCTCACTTCAGGAATTGTTTTTTATTACAGGCCTATGACTGAGACTGAGTGACTGTCTTGAGGTAAATGATGTGGAG